GAAATTTCTGAATCCTGGAATACTATTGTATCGATTGTAATAAACGAAGTTATTCTTCATCTTCTGTTTTCCTTCTTCGTTATTCGAACAACCTTTATAAAAAGATTTATGAAATGTTTGTTTTGCAGTATTAAATTATTTCACTGTTACCGAATATAAACAGAAAAGTTGGGAAAGAAGTACAAATACGCACGCTGACGTGTAGGGTTTGATCTTTTGAAACAATGTTTATGCTTGGACGGTGTAATTTCAGAATTTTACAAATAAATATACATAGATGAGAAGTAAAAGGAAAAGAAAGGGCGTATCATAAGAGAACTAGCTTAAACGAACATACACGTATAATGAAAACCGATGAGAGAAAATAGTTATATCGAATGCAATTACGTCGTGCAAGGCCGTCGTGTGGATTCTTTTACTACGTTATTGGTCGCGTTGCTGGTAAGCTCGTGGATCACTGGAGTCACGTTACATAAGTTGACACAACGACGGTGACGGAACAACGAATGCAGACAGGAGGTGGGAGACTGGCAACCCGAGAATGTTATGTATATACTTCGTTTGCGGCTACCTCGCGCCTAAACTCTACTCCCGTCATGCATTTGAGTTGAACGCATCGAATCAAGTGTGTTTTCGCGATGCGCGACGGTGCCACGCTGATTAAGTTGAAGCATAATACAAGTAATAAAAGAAACTATAAGTGACGAGCGTGTCCGTTCGAATATTTGTGCTTTCTTCTTTTGAAAGTTTCAAAGGGTCAAACTGCATGTCGAGCGGCACCTCGGTAGGAAAGATTACATCGATTTATTCTGTCTTGGGACCCAATCGCGTGGTAAACAAAGAATTGTAGTTTGCGTGCACTGATCGGTGCCGGTAGAAACCGGTTCGGTTACAATAGTAGACATTAATGCGTAAAAGGGATAATATTTATGTTCAGTGGTACGTGTGGTACTCAGGACGATTCGAAGAATAGATGAAATTGATTAGAAATTGAATCAGAATAGAGAAGAAAACATGACTGCTACAGAAGAAACTGAACCGCTAATTTCATCGAGAGACTCTGCTAGTTTTAGCGGAAGTAAATCACAAACGGTCTCGTACAATGCGATCTCAATGGTAAGCAATATTCAACCAAAATATTAATCTAGCAAAGTTTTTGCGTTATTCTTTTTTTATAGAAGAAATATTGAAAATCAGTGAGACAATAGCTTGACCGATGAATAGATACGTGAACGAAGATTACGATCATGTACGTGGCTTCCTTCGTACTTGACAGCTTTCTCGGGATTATCTCTTTTCGTTTCATTTTAAGAATTTTAGATTCAGAATAAATGTATAGAAAAGCATCGAAGATACAGGGTTAGGGATAGGGATGATAAAATAAAGTATAATATTTTGCTACTAAAGATCTTTTCTATAAATTGCATCACTTTCCCGTTTGATCGTAGGGAGAAGGAAATGGAAAAACAGCAGCATCGTGTAAGACAGCTTCCGATACATCGTCGTTCAAACTAAAGCCCATCTTACATTCTTCGAGTACAGTGGTAACGCCATTGATAGCGACGTTGATACCTCGTTCTACCGGCAGTGTCGAAAACGAATCAATTACATACACATGGAGTGATTTGAACGTGTATGCTGCCAAAAGAGACGAGAAGCCATGGGACAGTCTTTTAAGGAGGAAGAAACCAGTCGAAAGAAGACACTTGTTGAAGGACGGTACGATTGTAATTATATACGCATTGACTAATATACTTATTAAAATACCTGATCAAGATATCGAAAGTTGAGAGGAAAAAGTGGGAAATATTAGAACTTGTGCGAAGCTATGGAAATCCATTACGTAGGTAGGATTGTTCTAGAGAGGAAAAAATTGGATCGATTAAAATTAAATTACAGTGTGTGGAGTAGCATATCCAGGCGAATTATTAGTAATTATGGGATCATCGGGTGCTGGTAAAACAACGTTACTGAATGCGCTGACGTTTCGTTCGGGTTCTGGGGTAACTGCATCCGGTGTAATGGCTGCTAACGGACGAAGAGTATCTTCTACGATACTGACATCGAGAACAGCATATGTGCAACAGGATGATCTATTCGTTGGCACTTTGACCGTTAAGGAGCATCTTCTGTTTCAAGCTATGGTTCGCATGGATCGAAGGATACCTATGGAACAGAGATTCGATCGAGTACAGCAAGTAATCAACGAGGTACGTCGAATGAGGGTATACAATATTATCTAGATAAACATACGTGCATAACTGTATGTATGTGTATGTAAACCCGTGTACCTGTGTATATTTATGACAGTTGCAACGCGTGATGAGTTAGCTGTTCTTCGTGGTTTCCAGCTTGCTCTGAGCAAATGCAAAAATACGGTGATCGGACAACCAGGTAGGATCAAAGGTCTTTCTGGAGGTGAAATGAAAAGGCTATCGTTCGCATCGGAAGTTCTTACCGATCCGCCATTGATGTTTTGCGACGAACCTACGTCAGGTCTTGATTCTTTTATGGCGCATCAAGTGGTTTCCGTATTGAAAACTTTAACTGGTAAGTCGATCGTACAGATAGATTCGATTGTAGATTGGATATACGAGTATGTGTATAAGAACGGTTAATGGGAGATAGCGGTGATGTCGTAGCGCGCGGTAAGACGATCGTCGTTACATTGCACCAACCGTCGTCGGAACTGTTCGCTCTCTTCGACAGAATTTTGTTGATGGCCGAAGGGAGAGTAGCTTTTATGGGCACAACATCGCAAGCTTGCACCTTTTTCGAGACGTAAGTAATCGACAGACGTGCATACATCTATACTTACGTATATCGAATCAGTGCTTTTATCTTTTTAAAGTTCTTCTAAGTTCTAAGTTGTGTAAGTAGCGAAACGATGTTTCTAGACTCGGCGCTGCTTGCCCTAGTAATTACAACCCGGCTGATTATTTTGTTCAAATGTTGGCGGTCGTGCCAGGGCAGGAGACATCCTGTCGTCACGCGATAAATACCGTGTGCGACACATTTCAAAAGAGCGATCATGGTATTAAGATTGCATTGGAAGCGGAGGCAGTAAGCGGCGAATTCGAGGACTCTCTGCAAGATGCAAAGTACTCGAAAAATCGATCGCCGTATAAAGCAAGCTGGTGCGAACAATTTCATGCAGTTTTATGGCGTTCTTGGCTATCGGTTATTAAGGAACCGATCCTTATCAAAGTCCGCCTGTTGCAGACCGTCGTAAGTGCTTACTGTAACGAATACCACGTTGCAATCGATCGTAGGCAAAATTGGGTTCGTTTTAAAACGTGCTATGTATATTTATCGTTTCTTCCAGATGGTGTCTCTATTGGTCGGAATCGTTTATTTCGATCAACGGTTAGATCAAGACGGAGTAATGAACATCAATGGTGCTTTGTTTATATTTCTGACTAACATGACTTTTCAGAATGTTTTTGCCGTAATCAATGTAAGATTTATTTTATGTTAGTACATAAAGAAGAGAATAAGAAATTAGACGGATTGTTAATACGTATTCGTATACGTTTACGCGTATCACTTACCTTATGTTTAGGTTTTCTGCGCAGAGTTGCCGATATTTTTACGAGAACACCGAAACGGTATGTATCGTACCGATGTGTATTTTCTATGTAAGACACTCGCAGAAGCACCTATCTTCATCGCGGTACCGCTTCTCTTCACTATCATCGCTTATCCCATGATTGGATTGTACCCAGGGATCGATCACTTTTTCATTACCGCTGGTATTGTTGCGCTTGTCGCAAATGTTTCCACGTCTTTCGGTACGTTGTTTCCTTTTGATGTCGCATATGGTACAGTTGTACGTGCATTTAAAAATATACAGTGGTAGTTCTGTATGTAATTAACTATGGGAAAGTTTTCTTCTCCATTATTTTTTCTAGGCTATTTAATATCCTGTGTCAGCAGCAACTTATCCATGGCGCTATCTATCGGACCACCTGTGATAATACCGTTTCTGCTGTTTGGTGGATTTTTCTTAAATACAGCGTAAGGACGAACGTTCCATTAAATCTAACAAGTATTACACGATCTAATAAATATTATTTAATGTTGCATACACACATACACATACATATATGTATTATACACATGTCGATTTTACGTCTTATTCACACAGGTCCGTTCCATCCTACTTTAAATGGTTCTCTTATTTATCTTGGTTTCGTTACGGTAACGAAGCTCTTCTTATTAATCAATGGTCGCAAGTAGAGTTTATAGAATGCACAAGAAGCAACGCGACTTGCCCTAAATCTGGTCAAATGGTTTTGCAAACGTTCAATTTTAAGCAGGTGCTTGTCATTTGTTATATTATATTTCACTTCGTATGCTTGTCGTTACGTATTTATATCTTTCTTTATACTTGTTCGTATATTCATGCTTGCTGTACGGATATTCGTTGCTCATTGTTTTCGATTTTAGGAGCATTTCTGGACTGACATCGCCTGCCTGTTCGCCTTAATCGTTGCATTTCGTTTTTTGGCATTTCTGGCTTTACTGTCAAAGACTTGGACCAATTCCAAACAAAGATAGGAAAAAGAGTACGCAATTAAAAGTTACGTTTTATGATCGTTGCCAATCGTTGCTATGATATCAAGAACCTCGCACAAACAGTGCCGTTTTCGCCGGATAACGCTTCTTCGTAATGTTATATATTCTGTACGTTTATATACGACGAATGATTAATTTTAACATTTATTAGTTATCTATATCGTCATATTAAAATAATCCAAGTTATTTTATGTAATTTAATCGGATAATATCAAACGCAAATTACGTGTATATTTGTATTGTATATTATACGTATATTTATATTATATGTATATGCATGTATATTGCCTGTGTGTAAAAATCTTGCATTTTTTCATTTATTTCTAAAAGATACACTAAACTAGCGCTACTCTGTACTACTGTTTTACAGCGAATAAAATGTTTTGGAAAAAATACGCATTGCCTTCTTTTCGATTACGTATTAGTGTCTATAATCTTCCGTTCCAGCCGTACGCATTTACCGCAAAGAAACGGAGAAAATATCAAAAACGAAGGACGAAAGAAAGTAGCGATATAGCCGTGAGATTATTCCGTCGATGTTTCCTGTTAACTTTTGCGGGTGACAAACGGTAGACGGTAAAAAACAAGTACACTATAGTTGACCATCCTTCCAGGTTGAGACTCTGATATCGGTTAACAAACCGGTTGTTATTTACACCGTCCGACCGTGTATGCGTAAGAAAGAAATAGCAAAGAAACATAGTACATACGGATATATCTGTTCGATAATACACGTTAGAACATTCTTATACTGAAAGGTATATTTTGCTTTAAATCTTGAAATTTCACAGACAAGCATATTCCGCGATACTTTCAGTTCTATCGAACTGCAAGCTATCGGAGCTTCGTGCTAACAAATTTCTGCACGATATCGCGAGTTAATTTTTCTTTGACTTTTAACTTCTTCCAACATGTCGCTAAACGTCTCGATTTTTCTAATTACCGACGAACGTTGCGATAGAACGTAACGAAAAGATGTACTTGATTATTACAAAGATCGAACGAAACTCTTCTCATAGTGATCGTATGTAGGAAATACTATCAGAAAGGGTACCGTGGACGAGGAATTCTTACGGCTTCTACGAAACACGTATAAGGTTTCCATCTTCGATTACTGTAATACGTCTAATCTGGTTTCAACCCTCCTTAGTCACCTTCTATTTTATATTTCCTTACAACTGGTACAAGTTACAATTTAGTAGTAGGTAACCATTTACTAGTTGTCTCAGCAATTACATGGTATATTTTTCGTTTATTTGTACCTGAAAAAAGCATAACTACTAGAAATGACATTTTTTCAATGATTGCTCTTCTTACCAAGTGATTAAGATATGTATCATAAGATTCACAGTGAGAAACTTCGGTATTTTCATTCCATATATTAATGAAATAATTATCAAACAATAAGAATAATAGAAAAACCATGCAGATTATGCATATGTATATGTACGTTCCAAGGTTTTATTCAGCCGAGAGAATAGCGAAAAGCAGAACAGATACGGGTCGAGTGGGAAGGCAAGAGCTATCGCGTAGCTGTGGGTTCAGTAACAATCTTATTTGTGGAGTAACTCGGTTCAATCGGCTGTCCGGTTGGTGGGTCGTTGGTGTTTTTAATAAAACAGTGTAATCGGTAGAAGATAATTAAGATCAAGGTTTCTCATCGATCACGATGTATGTTTTAAAAGAAAATCAGTGGTTTTCCAAAACTCAAGCTCACCTTACGGAAGAGGATACGGTTTGTTTGCGAGGTGTGACGCTAACCTGGAGAGACCTTTCTGTATACGCAATGGATCGCGGACGAAAAAACATGTGCAAACAATTAATCAATAATGGTGTGTAATCGTGGCTCTTATCGAACGTATTTGTCGTAAGATAAAGATCAAACAGCTATAATCGACGATATTTCCCGATTTCAGTGAAGGGTGCGGCCAAACCTGGCGATCTAACAGCGATAATTGGTGCAAGGTAGTGTTCTATTAAAAAATTTACAACAAATATTATCGAAATATAAATTATACGTATGCCGCGTAAATTTCTATTCTTTCTTCCTTTTATTTTCCTTTCTTTCTTTTCCAGCGAGTTATCAGCTTATCGTCTCCGAAATTGTCTCTGAATCGTCTTTGAAAAACCCTGTATTATTTCTGACGATTTGGAATGACTCTCATCGGAAATGTATATTCTTTAGTTATCGTGTTACACTTCGGGTACCACTTTGAGTCAATAGAATGGTTCAAAGTGTTTTTTTTTTTTTTGACGATTTTAATAAAAAGTTAAATAAATCAAAATTTCTTGTCGTATGTTAACATTTTTTGTTGTGCTCATAATTTGCGATAATTAAGCTTCAACATCTTAAATACTTCTCGTACTTGTTTCAAACTTTTGTTTGAATTCAGTGGTGCTGGCAAAAGTTCATTGATGGCAGCGCTGGCTTTTCGCACCGGACGTAAGTCCTTCCTCTTTCCTCTTTTTCCTCGACATCGATACAATATTTTACCTTAGTTTCTGATTCTTCACAGCTGAACTTTTAATCCACGGTGATATACGAGCAAATGGAACGCCAGCTGATTCTTCTTACATGATGCATAACAGTGGTTACATGCATCAAGAGGATATATTTGTCGCAACGATGACAGTGATCGAACATCTTTGGTTTATGGTAGGTATACGATCCAGTACACACTTTTTGCCAAATTTGCTCGCGATTCTCTATTATTTTTCAATTTTTCATGCAGGCTCGAATGAAACTCGACGGACGTGTACAAGTATTAGACATTCGAAGAAAAATTGACAGTCTATTGAGAGACGTTGGTTTAACCAGCAGGCGCGATGTACGAATTGGTAGTAGCGACACCGACGACAAAGTATTATCTGGCGGTGAAAAAAAGAGGTTGTCCTTTGCCACGGAAGTATGATACAATCATCCCCTTTGTATAATATTTTATCTTCTTGCCTCGCTTTTATACTTCCTTGATTATTATTTGTTCTTCGAACGTTCACTCGTTTTGCACACTTTCAGCTGCTTTTTTTCCTTTCCTTTGTATCGTGGTCGATTATCGTCATTTCCGACGACGCAACGTACTAACAGATACTATTTAGTTGTTAACAGATCCGAAAATATTGTTCCTGGACGAACCAACGACCGGGCAAGATTCGCATTCGGCAAACTGTTTGATATCTCAACTGAAATCGTTCGCAGCGAAAGGACGAACAGTGTTGTGCACCATCCATCAACCTAGTTCCACTATATTCAGTTGGTTCGATCGAATAATATTAATCGCCGAGGGTCGAGTTGCGTTTGCAGGTGGAATCGACCAGGCAGTGGAATTTTTTGCAAGGTACGTTTCTGTAATGTAAAACGATATTTTTCCATTAAACTGATTCATTTTTCAGTCAGGGATACGAATGTCCGCGGAAATACAATCCAGCAGACTTCCTAATAGCGATTGTGGCTACGGGCTCGAAGAACGAGAATGGTGAAGAAATAGCTCACGAGATATGCGATGTTTTCTCAACTAGTAAAGCATACAACGAAATCGATCGTATATTAGAAACGCAGATGCAATCGATGCATTCTGTGAATGTAAGCGATCATCTTTTTCCTTGCCTTTTAGTCCGTGTAATAATAAGACACGAAGTAACAATCTCTTTGTATTATCGCTTCAGTCTAGATCCGAATTACTTTCTGACGACAAATTTATTACGTGAGTATTCGAGAAAATTTCAAGTATCTACTGATCGCTGTTTAACGTCCTTGTTTATACACGTATGTCTGTATATTATGACTATTTAATATAGAAGAAAAGAAGCGCGATATTGTTCACGGCTTTACTGGTTGATTTATCGACACTTTTTACAAGTTCTGAGAGATCCATCGGTACAAATTATTCGAATACTTCAGAAAGTGGTAAGTGATTTTACATGTGCAAACAATAGCGAAATATTTGAAAAGATAAAGGAGAATTTAGTACCGTATAGCATAGCGTATACAGTCATAATGAGTTAATAATTAAAGCTATGATGACAAATTGAACAGAGTGTGGCGACAATCGCTGGTCTGTGCTTCGTGGGTGCTGTAAATTTTGATCAGCTTGGAATTCAAGCTACGCAAGGTGTCATTTTCATCTTGGTGTCTGAGAACGCATTTTTTCCAATGTACGCTACATTATCCCTGATACCGCAGGAGCTACCGCTTCTTCGAAGGGAGTACCGAGCTGGGATGTACCCGGTTTATCTGTACTATGCTGCGCGTATACTTTCTTTGGCAAGTAAAGAATCATTAGCAATTTCCTCGCACAGTCTTATACTAAAGAGAAATTATTTAAAAACTAAATGCATGAATTCCAGATACCTGGTTTAATAATAGAGCCGCTATTATTTGCGACGATCATATATTGGTTAGCTGGATTGCGAGATAACGTCGAAACTTTTGGGTTCACGTTACTTGTGCTCCTACTTACTATAAACGTATCGACTGCGTGCGGTAAAGCAATTTATCTATACGATAAAACTAAAAGTTGGACTAAAAGAGAATCTAAGGGGAGAATTAAGCGGTATTGACGGAAACTTGTTTCAGGGTGTTTCTTTTCAACGGCATTTGAGAGCGTACCATTAGCGATGGCTTATTTAATACCGTTCGACTATATTCTTATGATTACTATGGGTCCCTTTCTCAAACTAGGGTACTTTTAATTACGGCTTATATTCTAGCTCTAGGTGGTAAGAAAAGATAGCGAGGAAAAAGGAAGAACACCTTTCTGTGTGCATGCAAGTGACGTGCATGTGCTTGCGTGCAAAAATGAATTAATTGGAAATATGTCAGTTAACTCACTAACTTATTTCAGATCGTTACCGTTATACATCCAATGGATTAAATACATTTCTTGGCTGCTACACTCCAGCGAAGCACTTTCCATTCTACAATGGAACGGTGTGCATAACATATGTAAGTTTCACTTTGCTGATTTGTATAGAGGATAATATATGCGTAATAGCTCTTCAATACATATGGTTATGATTAGTATTATACTGTAAAATGTATGTCAAATGGTAACATTGGACCGTTACTTTTCTAAATCTGCAGCTTGTGAAACAACTGATCCTGAATTACCTTGCATCACCGAAGGAATTGATGTGCTACATCGTTACGACTTTGATGAAACTAATTTTTGGATGGACATGCTGTCAATGATCGTTATTTATCTCGTTTTTCACATCCTTGCCTGCGTTTGTCTATGGAATCGTTGTAGATGTAAATGAGAAAGTACTATATCACGATATCGACTGCCATGCTGACTTGTTTGTATTCGTTTAAAATATATTCGTGTATTAAATAATAGTAACAATAAAATATGGTTTTAAAATTCAAAGTGGAAAAACACCGATTGTATTTTCGACCAATCGCGGGGAAACGCGGAGTCAACGGGAGTCGTAGCTATATGGAGATGCGTTAATTACAATAAATAGTAACTAAGAAACACGTCAACGGGAGTCGTAAATTTCCGTTACGATTATAATAATCGACGCCGCGAATAAATCGATCCCCTGATTTCCGTTGAGATAATAGGGGTGGTTGAGGTGGTACAACGCTGCGATTCACAGGGTTATAAAATTTATATTTCCAACAACTTTGTACAGAAGATAGTTACACTGAGGCGTATGTATAAGTTAAGTAAGTGATTGTTTTAAGGATAGAAACCTGGTAATGATATGTTGACTATTCTAACGATGAAGAATAAGCGAAGTTCGTTCTTATGTGATTACGGAGGAAAACTCGAAGTGGCTGTGTCTTTTGAACTAAGGACGTGGATTCGTTGTTCACACTTTTCGTTAGGACAGTGAAGGTAAGATCCGCGATGATCATTGGTTATAGCCAATATTAATAAGTGAAGATTGGAGGAGGAAGCCTCCTACCAACGTGGCTCGGGGGTGACCAACGTGCAATAAACCTAAGGACTGTTTTAAATACCAGTTATAAACCGAGAATACTTGCAGGATTAAAGGTTCCTGTAAGCTAATAAGATTCTGTTTATGGTGGGGTCTTATTGAGGTTTATTGAGCGTCTGTCGAATGGGGCTTGGGCCTTGACGGTCAGACACTGAAGGATGTCGCACGGACCATTTCACGCGACGTAACACCGATATCGAAAGAAATTGCGTACTATTTCAGTATACATATGTATAATTATGTGTTTATAAAAGTTTAAGGATTATGTTCCATGTTTCTATCTCCGTGTATCTATCGCATAATTCATCTCAAGTTACATACATCTCAAGTAATACATACACACCGGTAGTGTGACATTACTATTTAATATTCATTTATAAGAGGAAAGAATAAAAAATAACAGATGGGAAAAGGAATGGAGGAGAGGAAAAGAAAAAAAAATGCTACAAAAGGATATGGAAGGTTTGAGTAGCGTAGGAAGAAGGTGAAAAGAGGAAAAGGAAGCGTGGGAGGGTGGAAAAATGAACGTAAATAAATAAAGAAGCTTAAAAGAGAGGAAGAAAAGGGAAATAAATCTGACGGCAAAAAGAGAAAGCAAATAGCTATGCTTCAAATGTAAAAGCAAA